GTGCTTACTTAGGGGGTATCGTTGAATAGGGCCTTTAAAATGACTTAGGAGTTGCTACAACTTTTTCTAGATTTATGGGTATGTTTGCGAAATATTAAACTTTAATGTGTTCATTTTTATTCGAGTAGGGCGCCCCTCCCCCCCTGTAATTAGCTAATTACTTAAAATATCTGAAAAAATTCATGGTAATAGTAACATACACTTTAGGAAAAAATATAACGGTTAAGATTGATCAGTTCGTTTAGGAGTAATAGTTGTTCAATTTATGTGTTATATACCAAATTTATTACCTAATAAAAAATTTCAAGCAAAACTTAAATAGTGAAGTATGTAATTGCTTGTTTATAACGCGTAAAACCTTGCATTGCAAAAAAAGGATTTTAAACAACAATAAACCGACCCGACACGACGACGACAACACTTGGCCGGTTTTTTCAATAGTAGGCATTCGTATTTATATCAAGAGATCAGTTTATATAGATTAGAGATTGATATGTTCAGTTGTAATTCAGTTGTTATCAGGTTCTTCTTGTAGACGCATATAATTTGTGATTTTGCTTAAGATATAAAAATCTAGCAGCTTATGCATATATATGATTACAGTGTAACATTTACTAGTACTTAAAATAACACACAATTCTATAAAAATTTGCCCATAACAAGCGGCGCGTTGGAAGCCATTACTTAATAAATGAATAATTGAAAAGAAAAATCACTTATACGCCAATTCGGTGCTGCTTATGAAATTAACTTTGAAAGTTAATTTTTAAGCAGTACCAAAGTGGTAGTTAAGCACTTTGCTTTTCCATTGTCGAAATGTTATGAATATTTTTGGACTTCGGAATCAAGGTCGGTTCTTCTGTCCTCCAATGTTTAGGCTGGCGACCTTGGCGTGGTGTCCTCGGGCTGTGTCAACGACAGCGAAGGCCCACAGCCCGCCTCGTGCGAGCCGCACCTCCTCCACCCTTCCCCGCCGGTCTCACAACCACCCACCCCGCCAAACCAACTTCCAGAAATTAAACTAACTCGCCTTCGTTCGTCGAGTTGTTGAATGTTTTAAGAACAATCGGAATGTTATATATTTTGTTTAGGTTCGTTAAATAATTACTAATATAAACTAATTTTCAACAGAACAACCATTTGAATTCTAGTTCGATTTATAAAAACCGCACTTATTCTTATATGTGCTCAGCTTGTTAATTAGCATAATGATCGTCAGGTATAGTGAAATTCTGTCTGAGTAAAGTTAACTTTTATGGTCTAAAGTAAAAAAATAAAGATTACTCCGTAGAAATCAAAACATTGCAGGTTTCATAGTAGGCGCATATTTCAAGAAATCGGTTTTTAAATAGATTTTATTTCATGTAGGTATTCAAAGTGATCCATTAGAAGAATGTTCAATAGTTTATTTTAATGTTTAAGGAATAAGCAGGTAATAGCTATCAGCATATAAAAATATGCTAGTCGAATTGAGAACCTCCTTTTTAGGGTTCCGTAGTCCTGACAAGGAACCCTTACAGTTTCGTCATGTCCGTCTGTCTGTCCGTCCCCGGTTTTGCTAAGAGATTGTTAGCACTAGAGAGCTGTAGTTTTGTTAGATATGTAGATCAATCTCGCTGACTATATGGTAGAATATGATAAATATTTTTCTTTAGGGTAGCTCCCCTATATGTAACGTGGAGATGATTTTATTTTCACTGTCTACCCTATCGTTTGGGATGTCGTTGAATAGGTCCTTTAAAATTACTTCAGAGTTCCTAAGCCTATTTTTCGATTTGGGGATTCGTTTAAGAAATATTGATCTTTAAAGTGCTAATTTTAGTTTGAGTAGGGCGTCCCCTTCGTCTAATAGCTAAACAGTTGGCTTGAAAAACCTGGAAAAATTCACGATAATAATAATGCTTTTCATGACTTATAAGGAAAATTATAATAGTAAAGATATATTTCTTAGTTTAATAGTCGTTCAAATTTGGTTGAAGAAAATTTCTAAGCTTGAAAATTCCTTAGAAGAAAACATTGATAGTTATATAGCTGAAGTTATTGTAGCGAAAAACCTTGCATTGAAAAACAAAATCTAAATAAATTATTTAAAATCCACAGTAAAATATTATTAGTTCCAAATAGACAACACCACACCAAAACCATAATACTCTTTGATATTAATTGTCTTTAAGGCAACTACGGAACCTACACTGCGCGAAACTCGACACGCACTTGGCCGGTTTTTGAAGTTGGTTTAGATTAGATATACAGGTACATGAAGACCACATTACGCTATTCACTCACTAAGGTTAGAACGTATACAGAAACGGTTTTTGTGACATCTATCCTACTCGACAGGTATTAGTAGGAGCTATCATGGAGCTCGATGGTGCTAGTGGTTAACGCGTTCGGCTGAGATTGTCGAAGTTAAGCAACTTTCGCAGTGGATGGGTGACCAAAAATTTACTATCTCCAGCTCCTCCGTGCTTCGGAAAACACGTGAAGCCCGGCTGCATCTGCAGTCGTTAGCACCCACCAACCCGCACTGCACGAATGTTTTGTATTGAGAAGATGTCCTTAAGCTGCGCACGGATAGCGCGTTCCAGGGTGCGCGTACCCTCCTCGTGTTGCTATCTTAACGCAGCTTTAGTTTCCTGTAAGATTCTCAAAAAACGTAAGTAAGTTAAATACATTTCTGTATTTAACTTACTTACTTACGTATACAGGACTTTGTCGCGTGCCCTGAAACGCACTATCCCTTCGCAGCGTTAAAAGTCCCCCGATTGCATTAAAATATACTAACATTCCATCCTATTCGAAAAATAAAACTGATTTTTTTCTTTTCACATTAATTTTTAATGGTAATTATGTTTATGTTAGAATAAAATTGTTTAATTGTGCCGGTATAACTCACATTAATCAGAAAAGAACACAGTTCGCATATGGTTTGTATAGAGGGTACTGCACTCATAGCCCCAACTACTAAACCTTTTAATAAGCCTCCCACAAAAAGCTCCTTTTTCCATCTATCCGTCACATACGTATTGTATCTCAAGGACCTAGTACATAACTATTATTTCTGCTAAAATAACGAACAATTAAAGTTAAATAACATTATCTACGCTTACGCTATTTTTCTATGTACGTGCTTTTTTTTGTTTCCACCTAGTGTTTGTGGGAGTACAACTCTTACGTGGATGGATTTTTTATTATTATTACGATAGGGATTAGGTCTGGCTTTGGCTATTTTCTTTACTTTTGCAGTGAGAGTAAAAACGTGTAGATTATAGTTTTCATAAAACTTTCTCTTGCCCTTTTCCCTTTTTTTAATTCTTGATTTTGCTTTTACGAGTGGTGTTCTGTCTTGCAAATTTTTAAGAAAGCAAAAGCAGGTAATTGTTATTACTTATCTATCTAACCATTTACTTTAAGCTAACCATTACGTCTGTTACAATTTTTTATTTTTAATTTAGTGGTGAAATATAAAGTATGAAGAAAAAACTATCTTTACCTATTTTCATCATTTTCACATTAGTTTAATCGAAAACATAAGTCGAAAATATTTTCCGAAAGCAACATAACTTTAATTAGGTTTCGAGTGTAAAGTCAATGAGTGTTGTTTTGAGTAGGCACCCATAATAATTTAAAGGTAACGTGGCACAATTAGTAGATTTTTGCATTGGTTGAGCTTCAATAAGCTCAGAGTAATACGACATTTCCAGAAAGGTAACGAGTTTAACAAGATTGTTTACGAATCAGTCGTTGATATTAGGGGAGGGGGTGGGAGGGCGTCGACAGCAGGTCGTCATTGAGATGCCCTTGCACGGGCATTCTCTGCTGCAATCCTCAAGGCCTAAGACCAAAGCTTCGTTCTATTGTGGTGCTCCGGTTTATGAACTTTTAACTTTGAAAGATTTTGTAGCACTTAAACGGATAGTTTATGCTATTGATTTAAATTTGTATGGAACTATGCTGTGATTAATATTTCATTTACAAAATTAACCGATTTCATAAATAACATAATGATACGCTACTTTGGTAGCCCTGAGGCAAGAACTGTAATGATTGGGTTATGACGGATACTGGGATAACGCGTAGAAATATAAAAAGTATATTTCTTAGAAATATATACTTACATAAACAGCCATGACTCAGGTACAAATAATCATATTTATCATAACTATACGAAAGCAGGACCTCAGAATAGGCGGAATCTTGAAATCTGGTGTACAAGCCATTCTACTACAGAAATATCATGACTAATATAAAATACTGGTAAGTGCAAAAGATATTTAGTAGTTGTAAATTACGAATTGTCTATGACATTTTTAATAAGAACAGCCCTCTCCAGTTATTTTCAGAACAAGGTCATTATTTTTATGATCAGACGGCGTAGATTTCAATATTTATAAGTGCTTGTAGTCTAGACTAAATAAACAATATGAACATTTTATAATTTGACTCAAAAATAAATATTCATTCGAACAATCTAATTCTTTGAAGGTCCTTAAACTGTCGAAATATTAAATATTTGCCGTATGCAGCTCTCTTCACGTTTGGCCTGAATTCTGGAATAAACATACCACGTAGTTTTTGCACAACCTTAATCTCTACAAGAATGCGACATCGCAGAACAGTATTTTTATTATAGCTTTTATTATCTCCACGAAAATGTAGGTCCATTCTTTATTTTCCGTTGGTCCTAGTACCTACCATCACCATTTAATTTTTTTTCATATCTCTTTGATGGTAGAGCGCAGTAACCTTTTTTTTTGTATATACTTACTAAATAATCAAAGGTTCTTACATAATTACGAAACCTGTTTTTGGATTGATGTATATAAAATGTATTTTCTGTTATATATAACAGCGATTTCAGATTACCTCTGTCAGGTACAGAGCATTTTCCCCGAAAGCAAAAAAAGTGGAGCTTTCTCGGAAATACGAGTTGTATTTTTTAAGTTAAGGATTTCTCTGTGTTAAACATACATTTAAATACTAAATAAAGTATAGGCAATCAGTCACAAAATATAAATTTTATTTTTCTCTGAATAATAGTGTCACTCCACTATCACCACTGTCGCAAACTTCATAACCGTTGAAGTGCTACGTCTGAGCCGTCTGAGTGTATTGGTATTCGGTATTTGATATTCGCCTACGCCGCGCATGAAGCATGTAATGGCCTAGTCCTAACACCGCAGGTTGCCGCCGCCGCTGTAGCCGCCGCCGCCATCGATGTTGTCGCGTATTGATTACGGCGCGCCGCGTTCCCGCCACCACCAGGATGCAGTCACACCGATGCACCTTGCTCCTACAGGATCCTACAAAATAAGTAAAACCAGTTTCTTATTTATGAAAAAAAAACTGATTTACTTTGCAGCAATGCAAGCGTGCGTTGAATGCGTCCAAATGGACTAGCGAACAGTACGAGGCCTCGCGCCTTAAAAACGTAGGTAATTGACACCGCCGCGCCGTTAACTTAAGATCCCATAATTACAAACACTGCAATGTATTTAGTTTTGCATAATGCATAGTTATCGTTTATAAATAAATAAATATTTCCAACACACACTCACTCTGTTTTCAACTAGTGATTTGTTGCCATCTCCTACCGTTCGTTATAACCAACGCAAAAAAAATGCAACTAATGTACGATTTTTTAGGCAGAGAATGAAGGCCACACTTGAATTAGTGTGGCCATTCATAGTCATTATCTTTGGTGAATTTTCTTTAACAGATATCGTTTACATCTTCCTCGTAGTGTTCATTTTAGCTTGAGAAACAGAAAAATAGGTGAAGTCATATTAGTAAAAATTATAAATGTCTTTGTTACGATTTTCGTTAATTTCTTATACATTATAGGCTTCGCAAGAGTGGTGAAGACCGCTAGCCTAGCACCCTTAGGCACCCTTAGTGCTAAATCATAAAGTATTAAACATAAACTATTCTTCGCTAATAATGCAATGCGTAAAATGTAGGAAATAAAATTTTGTTTAATAAATTACTATGGCATATTGATGCGTTTTCAACGGATATTCTTGTGCAAACGTCTCAATATTCCTTTTCAAAGTTTCTCTTTCTCTGAGAAATTCATAGTTCCTGTATTAATGTGATGCTCTACGTAACGTTCCGAACAACACAACACGATTTTGACTGATTCAGCAAAGTCTAGACGTACTATTTTGTAAAAGTTTTATTCAGGGTGCAGCAAATTACCCCACCCCACCTGCCTTCAAGTGTGCAGGAGTCCAGTCACATAAATAGCCGAGGTAGCAGAAAAATGTGCCGATCCGATCATCTTCACCTGCCATGCCGGAATCCAAACTTCTACCCCGCGTATAAAGTCCTGAAACCTTATTAATCGCTAGAAACACCACATCATTAAAAAGTATTATTTGTATTGCGCTTTTTGATGATCTGAAGGAGACAACATGTTTTAGCAATTTTAACGAATTTGTTTTGAGATGTGCTTTAAATTGAAAACTCATATAGGTACCAATTTAAATGAGAAAGCTGTTTGAAGTTTTTATTTGAGTCTCAACAAAGTACCCCATCCCGCTTGACATTCAGAGCTCCTATTCAGAAGAAAATCCGATATGCCCTATGTTATGTATGCTATCTCTTGCTTGGGTTATTATAAAAAAAAAAAAAATAACATTGGTGTCCCATATCGCAGTTGCACGGTGTGATGTGTCGTTGCTTATGCAAAGCGCAGGCGCGCTGCACCCCACAGTGCACCCTATGCGTGTCCCGGTGCCCTTCCCGGCGGCGTGGAAACTTTCACTCCTGCCGCTCCTGCGCTATCGATGAAACACATTATTTACGTCGAGTTTCCTTCCGCTGATGCGCCATTGATTGGTTCTCTTAACCAACTTTTAACTTTTAAGTTAACTTTTTCAGAAACGGAAACTATTTTTTTTATTTATTTTTCTAATTGTTTGAGGGATTTTTTATCAAAAACACAGATTATAATTGTTTCTTATGTTTAGGCACACCAGTCATTTAATTTTGTATTCTTCACTAAGTTGGAATAGAGTTAGATATTAGCTTTTAGCTTGTTAGCAGCTGAAGTAACAATAACAATAATAATATTTATTTGTAAAAGTTGTACATGGTAATATTCTTATAAATATGATTAAACTAAGGCCATTATTTCGCACATAGTACATATAGATATCCTCAGCCAAACTAGGAAGTTCATCCTGTATTTTGGCTACAGCGCCTTTCTCTCAGTTGCAATGTAGCTATACAAAAACATAAGTACTTACCTAATGTTCTTACGGTAATCAATATTACAGAACGGCATTTTGTACGGGAAGAATATAAAGTCATTTTTTTTGTAAAATATATTTCATTAATCAAAGTAAAGTACCGTTGTTATATTTGCACTTTTGCCATTCCATAGGTAGTTTATTGGTCCCTTTACTAAAAAAAACCATATTCTTTGAAGGCGGTTTGGACTGCCGCATCGGAGTTGAAATTTTTTCCTTGTAAAAAGTTGTCCAAATTCCGGAAAAAATGGTAATCTGTTGAGCAACGTCCGAGGAGTATGTCACGGACATTCCAATTGTAGCTTATCTAACTTAGTGGTTCTTTGTTGTGCAATGTGTGGTCTTGCGTCATTGTGAAGCAGCAGTAGCCTAAAGCGATCGACCAATCTCGATTGTTTAGCAGCTAGTTCTTCCTTCATGGTTTGTTGTTGCTGATAATAGATATCTGCCGTAATCGTTTGGCCAGATTATAGAAAGCTGTAGTGAACGAGACTGGCGCTAGTCCACCAAACGCTCACAAGTAACTTTTTCTGAGTCTATTTTGTTTAGGACAGGATTTGGCTGGGTCTCCAGGGTTCAGCCATTGCGACGACCGCTTCCAATTATCGTACAGTAACCACTTTACATCACATGCAATGATTTTATTTAAAATCCCTTCATTATTGTGTCGGTTGAGCAAAGTAACACAGCAGTCGACGCGTGCTTGCAAGTTCGATTCACTCAATTCATAAGGTTTTTACTTTCCCGATTTGCTACAAGTGAATTAATACAGTTTCGTCACTTACCCCGAAGCCTACAGCTATCTCTGAAGTGCTTTGTGATGGATCAGCTTCCACTATAGCCTTTAATTTTTCATTTTCCATTTTGACCTCCGGCCGTCCACGGGCTGGTTCTGAAGGTCGAAATTTTCAGAACGAAAACATTGAAACAAAAAACGTACCGTGCTTTCTTTTGCGACTCCAGCGCCGTACATAAAATTAATCCTGCAGCACTGGTGCCCCGGTAGAACTCGTATTCGTAAATATACCGATATTTCATGTTTTCCATTGTGCGGTAATAAACTAACATTAAAAGTACCTATTACGCAATATCAATCAGAATTAAGGGTTAAATTGATAACCTCCTCTTTTGAAGTCAATCGATTAATCTATAAGTAATAAAAAATGGCGTTCGGGTTTTGAAAATATAAAAGCAAAGAAGTTTTTGCAATCAGACATAGCGTTCGGTTCATTGAGACTTGTCGCCAAAATAGATGGCTGCCAACCGTGAGTCAGTGGCAGTGACCCGCGCTGCACCACCCACCCCCGCCCGGCCGCCCTACTTTGCCCGCCCACCCTGGTGATGATACACTATAACATAGCATTTAGAATCGTATTCAGTGGAATAATCATACACAATTACATATGAAATTGCTTTCGACATTTGATGAAAGAAATGTTTTTTTATATCAAGTTTCACCGGCTTAACCTTTACTCCTTTATTAATAAATGCAGAATAAACTTAGATTAGTTAATGCATGTTTTGTCTTTGTTCGTTGAAAGACAAATGGCATTTCAGTGACATGAAAAAAACACGACGTAACTAGTCTAAGCTTATTCCTTGTTTACTAATAAGGGGTTTAAGTTTTAATAAAGAATAAAAAAAACAAGTTTTTGAACTTTGGCCACCATGTGCCTTTTTTTGAGTTGCCGATATTGTTTTTTGAATTACACATTGTTCTAGAAAATTGTTTGTTGAACAATTATCTAAACTGAGTATTTTATTCGTTTAACTATCAAACACATTATTTAATCAATTAGTATGTTAATTCGCACGTGCCTGTATCGAGATACAGGCACGTTCTTTGGTAATAAATTCGTGTAATATCTCTGAATCGCGATAAATTTCTGTTCTCCTCAACGAACAGAAACATATGCTATCTACTAGATGGCTATCAATGCTTATCGGCGGGCGTGCGATGGTCAAGATCGATTGCCTATCTGCGGAAGGTGATAACAATTAGGTACGTTTAACTCTAATAAAACAGAAACAACATTGACCGACTGCACCCTCAGATGTAACACAACTGCAATTTGTTTTATGCAAACACATCTACTAGGTATACCGACATACTCTATACATACATACTATTTGGTATCAAATTTATTCAGTCTACAAAATATATTTATTGAAAAGATTATTTCAAAGATGGGATTTTTTAATTAATTGACAAGCTTTATGATACATTTTTTATTATTCTAGCTAGTAACATGACCTCGCTTCCCTTAGCTTTTTCTAAATAAAATATGGTGTATATTATAATACACATAATTCTTCCGTGAGAAAAATTAGAAACTAATTGTGATACCACCGTGGAACGGGAAAAAAATTTCTCCCGCATGAAAATCCGTTCAATAGTTTTTGATTTCGTCTTTATTCTTCGTCTATAAGGTAGAATATCAAGAAGGTAGTAAGGTATAGGACACGATTTTTTCTTTATTCACAAAATCAAAATAATACAGATATATATAGATTTGAAATATCGCATGACGTCACGTCTTGGTAATTTTTTACTTACAAGTGACGTCACGAGCCCCTACTCCCAAACTTTGAAGTGCTTTATCTTTGTCATTCTTTGGTTGATTGACAAAAGAAAAAATATGTGTCCATAATTTTTTGATAATCTAACTGAAGGACTAAATAGAATTTTGTTTACTTTATCCCGACGTCATGCCTGGGGACTATTTTATATTAGAAGTCTTTGAGAAGCAAGAAGACTAAGTCAGACTTTTCCGTTTTTAAGAGTTTTAGGGTTCCGTATCAAAAGAGTGGTAACAGAATCCATTGATCATAAGCGGAGGCTTAGTAAAATCAAAGCAACCGCCATCTGCGTCTGTTTGTCAGCAGGTCGAGGTACATAAGACTTCTATCACTGAACACATCACTTCTATCACTTCTATCAGTGTCCTTCTGACTACTTTCTATGTTGTGCTTCTATCTTAGGAGTTTAATGGGACAGTGGCTAGTGCATTCGGTCTGCGACGAAAAAATTAAGTAACTTTCACAATTGACTTAACTTTTTAAGAACGTTTTGAATTTTGTTTTGTCAACACAAAATTCAGCCCAGTTCAAGTCAGACTCGCACACAGGGGTTTCTTAACATTATATAAGGTTGATAAAATTTACAATTTTAATTAAGCCGTTGCACTCGTTTTTTAAAATCAACATAGTTTTGTGTGCTCTTCAAAACACAAAGGAACTCGGGATATTATGCAATGGTACAAATTATAGTTTTGGTACAGCAAATATCTATCGGCTATGGCGGCCGCTTGCCATTAGGCGGCTGTAAGCTTACGGCCACTTTCAGCATGATAAAATACTTTATTTCATCTAGGAAATAATTTTCTTTTAAGTTTATTTATACGGAGCTATATGTTGCCTGTACAATATAAGATTTCAACAATAAAGGAAAAGTAACAATAAAATTTGCAGTAGTGCAATAGAAAAAGATATTGCAAGCTGTTGTCGAGCGTTGTGTTCGAGTGCAGTGTACTCGAGCAAAGGTCAGAGTTAAGGTTAAAGTTGATGTTGGATGGGCGTTGCAACGGCGTCGACGGCTTGGGCGGGCGGTGCAGGCAGGGCGCAGGGCGAGACACCTGAGGGCGGGGGCGCGGTGCGGCGCGGGGCGCTCGTGCAGATTCACTTTCGTCCGGCCACGGTCGCCCGACACGCCAGTGAGAGAAAGTTAGCCGCGCTGAGCGAACGACTCTCGCGCCCAGCCAGCGGGAGCGGCGTGCCGCGCACGCACGATCCGACCGGTGCCGGATTTGCCGTCCTTGCATTTCCCATGCATTGCCAGTAAACAAATGCACTCGTATAATGTTCATGTAAATGAGACTTGTCGCTGAAGATTTCCGCATTAAATGTGTATTTTACAAACGATGCGTAGACACTTCGTAGTATTCGTTTTCTGAGTTTCACATAGACTGAGATAGGACTTTTGTGAAAGAACTATGCAGTGCTACCCAAAGTTGTCGCCTAAGCGCGAGCCGGCTGACGGCGGATATGAGGAGGTTCTGCCGGTTCTGCGCCGCGTGGAGCTACCGGCACCGCCGGGCAAGGAGTTTAGGGCTCCCGTGTTGCTGGGGGCTCCAGCGCCCATGCCCACGCACTCGGTCATACAGTGCATGCGCCCGCCACCGCCGCCGCCTCCTCCACCACCGCCTCGTCTCCATAAACCACCCTCCTTCGAGGAACCATCCAGCTCCATTCCAGATTTAGGTGAGTATCTTACTTCTAAGGTAAAAAGACGGAGCACATAATGTTCAAGATTAGCGATATAACAAATCAATAAGGCACCTAATATAGCTGACGTGGGCGACGGAAACTAATTAATTTTAACTTCCCTAAATCCTACGAAAGATGTTTGTTATTAAACGCTATGTGAGTAAACAAAACAATCAATTTTTAACGTCGAAGGTTTAATCTCTGTTATGATATAAAGCCTTAGACGCCAAAAATAGGTTATTTATATATAGCACTTAATAAATATAACTTAGTTTATCAACAACGCATTTTGAATAATATTTCAATCACACATGAAAATATTTCTGTGTGTAATATAACAATACTACACTTGTAGGTACATTATCAAAATTACAGTAAATTACAGTAAAAAACAGAAATCATCACTCAAGAGTTAAATAAAAACACTGGTTTCGTACGATCTATTACGAAAAAAAAGATTTTTTTTCCATTGCCACAAACTATGATTAAAACTACATGGGTATAATATTAAGTTCATAATACGAAAATTACTTGTATAATTTGTGTCACGCCACTCGATAAACTACATTGCGATTTACCAGATTTTACCTCACCTTGATTGCTATACTTCCTGCTTCGGAAAACTGTAACGTTGTACATTTCCGGGTGATGACGGCTTACGATGAAGGTCGTGTCTATATTGAACGACACGTTGCATTTGTGTCTTCTTTACTGCGATTTCAATTTTATCGATAAATAAGATAGCCCCATTTGAATTTCTGTGCTGTATGAACCATGTTATTTGTGTGATTTTTGCTATGGAATAACAGTCGCTTCATTTTAAGTGTTATTTTTAATGAAAAAAGGGTAGATCACTAGTATAAGACCCGCCTGATGGTAAGCGTTTACCATAGACTATAAACGCCAGTTAGCGCCATCCCCTGCCGTGTGGAGTGATTGCGTTGACCTTAATCTTGTATGATCTCATGAAACCTTTGTTGTGCGAATCCACTTGTCTGGTTATAGGACAAAACATTTTTTTATTTATTTGTCTTACGATTACTAACCTAACTAAAACGGAAGAGGAGGTCAGAGGAACAGAGGTTAGTGCGTTCGATCTACAAAGTTAAGCAACTTTCGCAATGACTGTTGATTTATAGGATCGGTGACCAAAAAATAAAAATATCTCGAGGTCGTTTGTGCTTCGGAAGACACTTTGGCTGTTTTTGCTGACTTGCATCTGCAGTCTTAAGCTTCATTTACACGCATACGTGATGGGCCCTGTCCTTCTATTCTTTCCATTAGACAAGGCCTACGTCTCACCAGTGGGGACATTAACAGACTTTGTTGATGATAATAAAATTCTGCGATATTTCGAGTAAGTTTGGAATAAAAATGTCAGAAGACTAATTTTGAAAAATAAATTAAAATGTGCTATGTAACGCTAAACATAAGTAGAAGAAGAAAAAATGTTTCTGTTTACTGAGTGTGGGCGAAAAAACATGAATGAACGCTTCTGGATAACTAAAATAAAATATACGTATTTAGATAGTGATATTGTTGAAATCTCGTGTGTTTTTTTATTTTGTGTAATGATTTTCAGATTAGGGAGATAATGTACGTGATTGTAATAAACATCTCAAACTGTGAAACTCAAACATACGAGTTGAAAAACTACACCATTGGTTCGCGAACCATGAGTTTGTGCTGAGAACAACAGACAAGAAACTCAGTAAGAGTTTTTTGTTTTCCCTATTTTATTTCATTCATTTCATGGAAATATGACATCAAACTTATAATGAATTGAGATCAACTTGCATCATATCAATTTAAACTCATATTGTCTCTAAACAACAGGTATTACTAGCTAAATGCAGTATACCAATTAAAAGTAATGATATGAGTGGTTAATCAAAACTGGACATGCTCATAATAAGAAGCTAGCTATATGTAAAAGCAATGTATTTTGGTCTATCAAAGGGTTGATAGAAGTGATTAGTAAACTGGCAAATTTATTATATTCCATTCCTATAAAGGAAGTCCCAATTTACAAGAATTAGTACTTGAAATAAAGCATTTTGATCGGTCGAGTAGGAAATGATGAAAAAAAAAACAAGTTTTATCTAATAGGTTGAGGAAAAAGAATTTTCGCATTATAGTATGAACTTGTAAGAAAATCTCTTCGGCTTTACCATTTGTATCTGGATGGTTTTGGTATTATTGAAAAGTCAATATTTTAAAGAAGATAATTTCAAATTAAAATGAGAAAAATGTGTATTTCATTTGTTTTTCTTACTATCAAGATAACTGAATTTAATGAAGAAATTCGATACTGAAATTTTACTACAAAAAAGTTAAAACTGCAACGTAAGCAGTGAAAAAGAATTGTGATGTTTATAGATTTAGTGCAGTGCCTGTGAAAGCATAAATTTCGTTTAAGCGTTTTCAATCCGGAAATTTTGATGTCAAAGATGCACGTCGCTCTGGTCGCCCTGTTACGGATAAATTGGATGCCATTTTTGAAAAATAAAAGCTAGATCGGCAACTACTGGTGTAGTTACGAAGTAGCTGAAGAACTAGGAATTGACTGCAAAACAGTTTTGGTGCATTTGAGAAAAACTGGGTACACAAAACAGCTCGATATTTGGGCGCCTCACGAGCTCACTGTAAGAAACCTAATAAATCGTGTACTCATTTGTGATTCTTTATTACGACGTAATGTAATCGAACCATTTTTGAAAAAAGCTGATAACTGGTGATGAAAAGTGGATCACGTACGACAAGAACATGCGAAAAAGGTCGTGGTCAAAGGTCGGTCAGCTTCACAAATTCTGGTGAAACCCGAGTTCAGTCGCAACAAGGTGCTGCTGTGTGTATGGTGGGATTGGAAGGGCATTATTCATTATGAGCTGTTACCGCCAGGCAGGGCCATCAATTCCCAACTGTACTGCGAACAACTGATGAGATTAAAGCAAGAAGTTGAGAGAAAGCGGCTGGAATTAATCAACAGAAGGTTTTCATCATGATAAAGCTAGACCTCACACATCTATAGCCACTCAGCAAAAATCACGAGAGTTTGACTGGGAGGTGTTAATGCATCCGCCTTATAGTCCTGACTTTGTACCTTCAGATTTCCACCTGTTTCGGGCTCTTCAAAATTCTTTAGGCAGTATTAACACCAAGAGAGGACTGCCAAAACCACTTAGTTTTTTGATCAGAAGCCCCCAAATTTCTTTAGCAATGAGACAATGTCCTTACCTACAAGATGGCAACAACTTATCGAACAAATTAGCAACTACATACTCGTATTTTAGTTAAATGTAAACAAACCATTTTTTTATTTTCATTAAAAATGCAATGAAACTTTTTCCCAGCCTAATGTGATTTACTAGGTATATTAAGTTTATGGTCAATACAAAATCTAGAAAAAATTCAATTTTCTAATGTCGTTCATGAGAAAGTTCATCTCATCTTCATCTCGGAAGTTATAAAGTTCCATTATCAGCGTTTGTGTAAGGAAACTTGAAAGTTCAAAGAAGTTAATATGAAAATGGTACATATGTATATACGCGAGCACGTTTCATATTAATCCTCCATACCAACCATACCTATTTTCGCGAATGGCAGATTAGATAAATATCACAAGGTCAGTACATTCTGTGTAGTGACGACGCGTCATTCGGTGTCATTAAGGTCACTGTGACATTGGGCAGATAACAGTGACAAAATAATAGCCGTATCTTATCTGGCAATGTCAAATTCGCGGGCGCAACAGGTGCTGCTGGGAGCTCCGACCTTTGCACTCTGATAGCTTACTGCAATTCGACAACAATATGCTAATTGTGTCAGTTTAATACGAGGATATACTAAGTATTCATGCTAAATACCTCCAAAGCATTGTCTAAAAGGTGACCCTCTAATAAAAGCAAGAAGAATCAGGGCTGTGCTATATTTCATGTACTTAAGCTTTTTTATTTTTAGATGCTCAGAAAATTTATTGTAGTTTTTATGCGATGAGCACACTTTTGAGATGTGAGAATTAGGTTTTTTATATTACTGTTTACAAAACATAGAAAATAATTTTATTAATTGACACTTACACAGACATCTTTATTAAATTAACGGCACAACCAGTGATAGTAAAGGCTACGATTCTTTTCAACAATGTTCGAGACTGTCAACTATTGTTAACGAAATTCCATTATTCATATTTTTACATTAATTGCAACAATATAAAATTGTTTAAAGGGAATTTGTGTGCTATATAGTCAAATTTTTTAAAGCTTAGTGTGAAATTTCTATTAAATAATTTACATATTATTTTGTCGATGTATACATATCAAGGATATTAAACAATTTTAATTGATTCACAAAATATGTTCGTGGGAGACAAAGTAAACTTTATCTTTATCAGTAGCACGTGCAGATAATAATACTAATCTAACAGTTTATTTTATTATAGTATATATTTATGAATGCAACATTGGTTTGAAGATGGATTTTGGCTGTTTTGCCTGGAGGAAATTAATAAAGTCATAAACGATTATGTCCATAGCTTACTTATCATTAGTGTCACTATATTGAGATGTTATTAATTAAAATGTCCCAAATTATTAATTTTACGTTAACATCCTTAGTAACAGAAAACAAACTATTCCATTACGTATTATGCCGGTACTTCACTTCTCTATTCGTATGTGCTATTTGTAAATTTGACAATACTGTCCTAATCATGCTTTATAGGGAATGAAAAGGACAGACTGATGTCGAGTTAACAAATAACAAACCCAAATACTCAAGTGAAGTGCTGGCATTACGCAAATAGACTACGCAATTTTCGCCATAAGTACTAAGAGTCAAATAGAGCTCAATACCTTATCATAACCTTCTGTAGTATAAATTACTTCCTGATGATAGCTCACCGCGATATTAACACTTCCTGGTTTTAGGAAACAAGTATTAATATATGTCATGATAATAATATCAATAATACAATTGCAAAATTTGATGTCATG